TTATTATTATTAATATTATAGTTGTTGTTGTTGTTCTTTTTATTCTTCTTGTTAGCTGGCAGATGTTAACGGTTATTTAGGGGTTAATTTAGATTTCTCGAGATTTACATTTTTAGATACTTCGTTCTCATGTATGTTTGTTTGTGTGTGTATGTATGTATATAAGCTATCCTATTTCGTCGGATTCTAAAGCCATCGTAACTATTGGTGGCTCGCAGTTGAACGCTGTGGATCGATTTTGCTACCTTGGTAGCTACCTCTCCAACACTACTGCAATCGATGATGAAATTACGGCTAGGATTGCCAAGGCTGGTGCTGCTTTTGGTGGTTTGAGTGGACGACTCTGGCAGGAACGGGGTGTGTCGCTGGCTACTAAAATATCTGTCTATAAGGCAGTTGTGTTAACCACAATGTTGTATGGATGTGAGACATGGATTACTTATAGGCGCCATATACGTAGACTCGATCAGTTTCATATGAGATGTCTACGGGTTATTGCTAACGTTAAATGGGAGGATAGGGTGCCAAATACGACTGTATTGGAAATGTGTGGTATCTTGGGTATCGAGGCATTTTTGTTACAGGCACAGTTTCGTTGGGCGGGACACGTTATCCGCATGCCGGACACAAGAATTCCCAAACAGGTGTTTTTCGGACAGCTGGCTTCTGGAGTTCGCCTTGCAAGCGGTCCAGTTCGCAGATTTAAAGATAATCTGAAGGAAAACCTAAAAAAAGTCGGACTGGATTCTAAAACCTTGGGTGTCGTTGCGCTCGAGCGTTCACAGTGGAAGACACGCTCACAAGCTTGCAGCTCTAGTTGGAAAAAGAGGACGGCGTAAGCAGGTGGCCCGGGATGGTAACAGCACAGGGGTGTGGGTTTGCGGATCCTGTGGTCGTTGATGTTCATCAAGAATAGGCTTGTTCTCGCATCAAAAGACTCATCAATGACACAATTCGTCGAACGCGACGATGTATTCCATACTGTGTATGTGTGTATATATGCGTATATTTATGTAAGTTCGAGTGTGTATGTGTGTATATGTGTATATTCTATACCGTTAGTTGAGGTAAGGTATTCTGCGCAGTTGAATGTATAAAAAGCATGAAAGTATAAGCCAAACAAAGTTTTAATTTTAAGTGCAGTGGAGAATGATGTGCGGTTGTCTGTTTGGCTGGTTGGTTGGCTGATTGATTGAATGTCTGTTTGATTGATTGGTTGATTGATTGGTTGATTAATTTAATGACTGAATGGTTGGTTGGTTGGTTGATTGATTGGTTGATTGATTGGTTGATTAATTTAATGACTGACTGGTTGGTTGGTTGATTGGTTGATTGATTGGTTGAAGAGTTTGTTTAGGTTACAAATTTGCATCATGGTTGAGAGAGAATTGAAAGTTGTTTGGCTAGATTGAAAGATATTTAACATAATAAGTATGTGTGTGCATACACTTGTATGTATGTGTGTATATTTGTATGTATGTATGTAGGTGTGTATTGAATGTATGCAAGTATGCAAGTACATTAAGACCAGTGTAGTTGCTTAATGATATACGTACTATCGGCTCTTTTGTTGCTAGATGGATTGGTTGTTTGGCCTGATTTTATGATGTTAGCTGCTTTTGAAATGATGAATGGAATGCTGAAAAGTCCAACTTCAGAATGTTGTTGTTATAAAATTTGTGCTTTTGTTTGTAAAAATGAGAGTGCGCGTGTGTTTGTATGTGTTTGTGCGTGTGTGTGTGTGTGCGTGTTTATGTGTGTGTGCGTGTGTGTTTGTGTGTGTCTTAGTTTGAATAAATTTTAACCAACGGTACATATAAGTGAAATGTTTTTAAACAGTTTAAATACGATGTCCCGAAACGAACGAACTCCAGTAATGAAAAGCGCAACAAACAACAACATCAAAAACAGCAACAACATCAACAACAGCAACAACATCAACAACAGCAACAACATCAACAACAGCAACAACAACATCAACAACATCAACAACAGCAACAACAAAGTCCCGCTGCTTTGCCTGATTTGTTAGAAAACCAACCGATAACAGATTTGGATCTACCTAAGAATACAAATTCGGATAGAAAAGTTTCAGACAATAATAATAATAATTACCCAGAGATTTTAAAAACAATAAAACACCCTTCGGACAATGACGTCATCGACAATGTCATCAACAACTCAAAAAGTTTCAGCAACAACAAAGATTTAAATCAAAACATGACAAAAATACCTGACAACAAGAACTCTGTATCGAGGATGCCAGCAGGAAATTTGTACTCGACACCGCCAGAAAGTGCCTATTCAACTCCGCGCACAGACTTGTACAAGGTACCAAATAGCATCGCTAGCAATGATTACGAGTTTTTTGACAGCCCTCTAACGAATCTACCAACAAAACTAGAATTGCAGCATCAAGAAGTAAATTTGAAAAATCAGCAATTGTTGCAGCAGCAACAGCAGTTGCAGCATCGACAAAATAACAACAATATTAACATTTCGAGTTGCAGTTATGACAGTAACCAACCCCAAAGTAGAATCACTCGTTTGAACATCGTTCTAGACAACATCAAAAACAACAACGACGACGACGACAAACATCCGAGCATTAGAATCATCAGAACTCGAGACGATATTGACATCATGAGAAACAGTCGCCATTCTAACGGGCACGGTGAAGTCAACAACAACAGCACCAACAAATTTTACAACACCACAAAACCGCCACAAAGTAAGAGAGACCGTAGTTTGAGGAGGGTAAGATTCGCCGACTATGTGGAAAAAGTTTATTCAGATCCGGAAGAATCTTCCTCGTCATCCATAAACAGGAAAGTGAAAGTGAAACTAAACCAGCCGGATAATGAAAACGAAACTAGTGCAAAGGATCAGTATTTTGGAGAATCCCACGATATTAGTGGTTTGATGTTTGTACCCAAAAGCAGCGAAGAACATGACAACAGTATTAACAATAGTATTAATAACAAGAGCTGCAACTATTATAAAGACAACATTAAGCACAATTTTGTTGTTTACAACGACAAAGCAATTACTAACAATAACATCAACAGCAACAATAATTTCAACAACACTAACATTAATAACATCAACAGCGAAAACACTAGCACAGACCACATTAAAAGTGATATTACTGCAAGTGCCAGAAAAACCTTCCCGAATGCTTCGAACGCTTACAACGAATGTGGAGATTATGATGGTATTATAAGGATAAACGTCAACAACAACAGATATGAAATGAACAACAACAGTAACAACAACAACAACAATACAACAACGACGACGACGACTGGTCCGATCAACCAACAACTCCACAACATTTTATCACTTGAAGAATTGTTAGAACAACAACATCAGCTGCAGAAAGCCCAAGAAAAATGGCAGCAACAACAACAACTACAACAGCAGCAGAAGCAACTTTTTCAACAACAACTTCAGCAACTGCAACAACAACAAAAATCGCAGCAGCAGAACGCAGAAAACCCGATACCGTCGGCGCCAATTCACGAGCAGCAAAACTCGGATTACGATAACGCATACAGCGTCATTAATGAAACATCTGCACCTCCGGTGAACAAAATTAAAGTTGTTGAAAATATTTCAAACGACAAAGACGACATAGAAAGCAGTTACAACAACATCGATAGCAACTACTACGACGTCAGCAACAGTCACAATCAAATTAGCTCCGTCTACCTTAAGCCGGATAAGTTGAAAAATTCAGAAACCTCCAACAAAAAGATCATCAACTCAACGACAAAAAATCATCTTCCGGTCAATTTTGTTAGGCCGGAGAATAAAATACAAAACGTCGCAAAAATTGACAATTTTGTGGCTAACAACAACAGCAGCAGCAGCAACAACAACAACAATTTCAAAGGCATCAACACAAACAAAATCAAAATCAACACTCCCAGCAACAACAAAACGACCAACCAGCAATCTACAGGCTCTGAGTATCAGCTTCGTTTCATCGATCTCGATGCAGCTGACTTGAACGATGACGACGTGAAGGACGATGACAACATCAGGTTTCTCATCTCCACTTACAACAATAACAACAATCATCACAACAACAAATCTCTCCCGACATCAGCCAGCCACAACACCAACAACCCAGCATCAGCATCAGCAACAATTCTCGCAACAACAACAAAAGAAACACTTCAAAAAAGCGCTGACAAAATTAAAATCCTTTCGGAAAGTTTAAATGGAATCCTGGATCGCAAGAACCACAGCGATATCCCAATCGCATCCGTCATTTTGAAATCCATCGATTACGAACTCGGCTACTTGCTCGGTGTCGGAGCGGCGGTACTGGAAAAAGTTATGTCTGGATGGAATGAGGAACTGATAACTGTGACTCTGCAGCACCTGGAAGACATGAAAACCTTACAAGGCACCCTCTCTCTTCTCTACAAACAACTTCTCGACGTGTGCGATTATTTGAAGAAAGTGTCTCACCACAAAGGTGGCGATCCGACGCAAGTAAACGTAGCCAATAAAATGAAAATTAACCGCGAAAAGTTTGAATTAATTTGCTCTTCGTGTAAAGTTTCGTCGCAGCACATCATCTTCCCCGTTGAAAGCTTTGTGAGATTTCTCCTCAGCAGGCATTCAATACTCCTGCAAGCGCAAGAAAAAGTTTCAGCTGCAAATTCTACACAACCATCAAACAGCAACTTGACTCTCAAAATCAGATCTCCAAAATTTGGGAACGTGGAAGTGCCAAAGAATTTGAGTAACGATCAGGAGCTGGCTGGCATGGTCTCCAGTTTACTAGGATTTGACCCGAGGGTTCAAAAAGTTATTCAAAAAGCCTTCTCAAATAAACCGTATAATAACTATAGCTTGGATAAAAGAACGACGAACAACGTTAATAATTTGAACACTTTGGATGAGTCTAATGTGTTCTCCACTCAAGCTTCGAAACATCTGAACTCTTCCTCCAGAGATTTCGATCAAAACATCAATCCTGAAGACATGTCTTATGATAATTTCAACAATTTCGCTAACAACAACAACAGCAGCAGCAGTCAATTTAATGTGCCTATTATAATTAAAAATAGCAACAAGTTATCTAACAACAACAACAACAATAACAACAACAACAATATTATAGGAAGTTTGCCGCGGTTGAACTATCCTTACTCAACGAACCGAATTAATGAAAGTAATAATTATCTCTTAAATAATACACAACTCAACAAATTAAACAACAACATTAATATTAACAACATTAATAATATTAACAACAATAACAGCTTAGCTAACCACAACAACAACAACAACAAAAGCAGCAATACAATCGCCAACAACAGCAACATCAATTATAGTAACATTACCAATAAAAACTTGGGTTTCGTGCCTGCGGTAAATTTCAACAACACACAAAACAACAACAATAACATTAATAACATCAACAACATCCATAGCAACAACACCAAAAATAACATTTACGATTTCGACCAATCGTATGATAACACTGCAGTTAGAAATACGACAGATAAAGAGGATAGCACAAACATCTATAATGCACTAAATGATTGGAGTAACACTAACAACAACAACATTAACAACAACAGTAACATTAATAACATCAACAGCAAACCAAAAACATTAACAACAACAACGGCAAGAACTAGTTCGCCAGCCACGGCCTACATACAGAAAAGACCACTACCTCCTTTACCAAAATAACTCATCAATTCTCTCCCACTTTACTCTCTATGTTTATTCTCTAACAATAATTAATATGTATTAATATTAATCTGCATTTAATGTTATTTTTATGTTTCTTTTTAATTTTTCATCAAAAATAATTTAGCTTAACCTTATTTACTGACCAAAATATAACCTACATCCATTTATTGTTGAACGCCTCTTAAATGCACTGCTTCTTTAATTACTGTTCTAAATATATATTGTAAATAAAATTATGAAAAATAATTTGTGATGTACTTTTTTTATTAAACTTAAATATTATTAATATTAGGTAATTTATGGTATAAAAAAAATTGGTGAGTTCATAGATGAAGAATATTTTCAACACATTTTAACGAAAGAAAGCTCTCTGACTTCAACACAGAACCAACCCATTTTAACTTATTAGACTGTCTAGTAGCCCTCCAAGTCGTAAAATAATAGATTTACATGCATTAACTTTCGTACATGCTACAACGTTCCACTAGATTCTGGGCTCGAAGTTGAAGAAATATGCATTTCGAAAGAGACTGTTCGACGTTTTATAAATACATTAAAAAATATTCCAACTGTACAGGAGGTCACAAATTTTAAAAATTTTTAAATTTCCTTCAAATGTGAGTTCACAAACCTGCTGCAAATTAATTTCATTCAATAACCTTGGAAGAGTTGTTTAATAGATACAGAATTGCAATTCAAATTCAAACTTTAAAACAATGCACTACTGGTTTACTCATCTTTGAAATTTGCTGCACTGACAAGTTTTTCTTTATCATAAAAGCAAATTTATCGTATAACAACTTGCAATAAAGCCTATCTTGAAAGTAAAATGAAATTTTGGCTAATTAGGCTGCTCCGAGAAACGCAAAAAAATCTTAAACATCATTTCCCGTTCACCAGCTGTTAACTTTTTTTTGGATATGTAGAATGACTGTACCACATGTACCACAAAAAGACCATAAAAATTTCTTCTCTGAGTTTTGGACAGCATTCGAACTCGGTAAAAAGGAGCACAGCAACAACAACGAGGCCTCAGTTGATCAATGCTAAAAATGCAAAAATTACAACAAAAAATAACTAAAAATGCTACATTACTGCAAATACACGATACTTGATCCTAATTTATTGTTTATAATGATGCTACTTTACAAAATGTTCTACCAAATAAATAGCCAACCGATCGTCAATCACACCGGCGAGATTCATAACATAACTGTACGCTGTGCTGACATAAATGTTTCGAAACAAATTCAATAAATAAAGTAAGATGGCCAAACAGCAAGTCACAAACAGACAGGTAGAGAGAGAGAGAGAGAGAGAGAGAGAGAGAGAGAGAGAGAGAGAGAAAGAGAGAGAAAACCCAGATAGAGAGATAGAGCCAGAGAAAGAGAAAGAAACAGAGACAGACAGACGATAAATGACAGACTACTTAAACCTTTGAGAGCCAAATGTTTCGGTTTGAGATGTTCTTTATTAAAATTAGAAAAAAACTTAAAAACATACACGCACACACACACATACCTATATATATATATATATATATATATATATAAGCATACATAAAAACTCATGAAAAAACAATCATACACAAACAAACATTCAACAAATACAAACAAATATTGAAATATCACAACTCGATAATTAAATCATTTAAATTCAAAAAAGTGCATCAGTGACAGAATGCCTACGATACATTGATCATTGGACTCTTTGTTCTTCATCTGCTTTGCTGGTATTTTAATCAATTTAAATCCCCCATCCATTCAATTGCTATTTCATTCAAATGCTCTTTCATTCATTCATTTGTTCATTCATTCAGTTTTTCATTCATTCGTTCATTTTCTCACTCATTCATTTATTCGTTCGTTTTTTAACTCATTCATTCAAATTCAAAATTGACTTTTTTCTCTTCGTTTCAAGGTTTCAAGATGTGTTCTTTGGCTTTTCGCAAACACACAAACATACACACACATACACACACACAACACAAACACACATAAGTTTGTAAAATGTATGACGTTTCAATTTTACAAACAAAGGCGTGATGCAATTATGAAAAATAAACAAAATGTTTGATTTTAGCACGCACACACACGCCCACACACACACACGCATACACACACGCACACAAACATTCAATCCATATATTTTTTTACAACTCCAGATATTAATTAATTTACTAATGAATTTTTAATTCAAGTGCTTATAAACAAATCGTAAAAACACACACGCACACATACACACGCACACATACACACGCATACATACACACTCACATACACACTATATAAGTGGCAGAGTAGTATATAAGGGGCATGTCAAATTTCAAAACTTGTGTATTTCTTAAGTCTTTTTGAAATATTTCTGACAAATATCATGAGTTTCATGTTGGTCAAGTTACTTTTCGTTGGTTTGTTGGTCTCCTACGTGAACAGTTAGTCTAGTATGTTTCGTTTTCCGTTCATTCATTCATTCTTTCATTCATGCATTCATTCATTCATTCATTCATTCATTCATTCATTCATTCATTCATTCATTCATTCATTCATCTATTCATTCATTCACTCATTCATTTACTCACTCATTCATTCATTCATTCATTAGCATAAGTATCATTTATTCTGTTATAATGTTAATACAATCGCCACACACATCACCACACAAAACGATCACACATCACCACACACACAATCACCACACACACAATCACCACACACACAATCACCACACACACAACCACCACACACACAATCACCACCACACATTACCCCAACAGCCTTCCACCTCATTGTCATTGGTGATTGGGGGGATGATAACGAAAATCAATACCGGACTGCCAGAGGCATGTCAGCACTATGCCAAACCGTCAAATGCAATGGGATAATCAGTACCGGGGACAATATATATCCGGCCGGAGTCAAGTCTGTCAACGATCCCAGGTTCAATACCTCTTGGAGGAATGTGTACAATTTGAAGGGTATTCAGGTAAGTTTCGGTGTTCGATTGTTCATGTTTGTGTCGGTTTTTTATTATTTTCGTTTGTATTTATTGTCAACGTTATCATTATCCTATCCATAAACACCATCACCATCATCACAATCGTCATCATCATCATCACAATCATCCTTCCACATCATTATCAGGACAAGTACTGGCTGATGAGTATGGGGAATCACGACCACGATGGCAACTACAAGGCTCAGATAGAATACACAAACGTAGAACCTCGCTGGCATTTACCATCATTGTGGTTCGTTTTCATTGTAGAAAAAATTTCACAAATATATATACATATTTATTGATGGATGGATTGATGGATGGATTGATGGATGGATGGATGGATGAATAGAAAAATGTTTTCTTATTCATTCGAAAACGTCATTTGTTGTTTTACTTTGAATAGAACACCTGCAAAATTGTCATTTATTATTTTATTATTTATTATTGTTATTATTATTATTATTATTGCTAGTAGTAGTAGTAGTTCTTGTTAATTTTCTTTGTAATATTCTTGACGATTCTGGGCATTGTAAATCTGAATCATATAGATTTTAATAATTCACCAAAACCAAACTAAGAAAAACTGAATGAAAGATAGATGAATTAATGAATGAATTGATGAATGAATGAAGGAAGGAATTAAAGAAAGAATGAATGTAAAACAATACAAAGTTATTCAGTAATCTGATAGCATGATACGAAATTCTCGCAGGTACGACGCGCAGTTTCAGAGCGGTGCAATACATCTCTTCAGCATCGATACGGTCTCAATTGAGAAGAGTGTTTACGATTACAAGAAACAACTTCAATGGTAGTTGAAATGTTGAATGAATGAAAGAACGGATGAATGAATTAGTGAATGAATGAATTAGTGAATGAATGAATTAGGGAATGAATGAATTAATCAGTGCATGTTTGAACGGATGAATGAATGACAGAATGAATTGTGTGCTGCATAATAATCTAATGTTCATAAGCGAATGAATGCTTTGTGGATGAATGAACGAATGATTTAATTAATTAGAGAGAAAGATCGACTGCTAAGTTAAATTAATGGATAAACTGAAAAATCAATGGAGGAATGAATTCTTGGATGGATAGATCAAAAAATTTTTCTTTTTAGAAGAATAAACAACAAAAACTAATATTTAAAAACTAATTAATTTAAAATTTAAATAATTGACAATTGTTCGAAGGTTGGAAGACAAACTGAGCAAGTCGAAAGCAACATGGAAGGTCGTTTTTGGCCACCACCCTCCTGTGACGGGGGGTAAGTACGCCCCTGGCGTGCCAAAAACCCACTACAAAATCGTCCCACTGTTGGAAAAGTACAAGGTCGACCTTTACTTGGCAGGGCACGATCACAACTTACAGCACATCTCTAAAGGTATGGCGTCATATATATATATATATTTTTTTTTTATTTTATATTTTCTCTAAAAATATGCCGTAAGTTTACCTTGGTGTATTTATAATTTTTTAAATTTAAGATGACGTCAGAAATGAGGAGACTAAGTGGATCGTTGATTACGTCGTTTCTGGTGGGGGTGGGAGGAAGTTGGCACCGAAGACCGCCAACGCGGAAAATGAATTGATGAAGAGAGGTGCGTTTTTGGGAAATTAATTATTCTTAATTATAATTAATTTATAATTAATAAACTTATAATTAATTCGTAATTAGTAACCTTATAATTTACTGATCCATAACCAATTCAATCGAAACGTCCGCCAACGACAGGTTACAAACTGCGCTTCTTCAGGAGTCAATTCGGTTTCGTTTCACTGGAATTCAGCAAGTCGGACCTTCTGAACGTGAGATACTTCGAAGTCACGAAACCAGATACAATTGAGATTACGTACACATTCAATAGGACAAAAAGCGCCATCTAACGACAGTCCCCAACGTTAGAACTAACATCGGAATGACGTATATTAGAAATTAGAGTAGAGGGATTGTTTCACTTGTCTGCTTACGATTAAACACTATTTCATGTTTTGTAATTTTCAGTGTATATAAACAAATTCATTTTGTATTAATTTTGTTAGCGTAGCTACAAATTTGCTATAATTTCTTTAACTTCTAACTTCTAATAATTATTATCATTAATCAAACCAGTTAACTTCTATTATTATTTGTCTCTGTCTTATTATATCATTTTGTTTTTCGTCGTTTATTATATTGCCTTTTATGTTTGTATCTACAACTAAAAAAATGAATAATTAACAAATGAATAAATAAACGTTTTAAAATTTATAACGGAATTTATCAAAAAATCAATATTCAAATTTTCGCAGCTCTAAAATTAAAAATATTTGCACAAACACAACACACAAACAAAAATACACACATACACAAACACTCCACAACCACAACACACACACACACACCACACACACACACACACACACACACACACACACATATATATATATATATATATATATTTCGATGCTTGAATAAGTAGTAAAAATTAAACTACAAAAATTTAATAACTATTGGTAAGCTCTGATTTCGGAAGAGCCAGCCACTTCATATTTTTTGAACAGTTCATTAATAACTTGCAAATATTGAATAAATAGAACAATGAGTAATAATATTAATAATAATAATTATATTAACAATAATAATATAAATAATAAATTTTTTGTCACTCTACTCTTTGTTCTCCTTCCTCCAATATGCATTGACGGTTGGTTTGTTCTGTTATTATTATTATTATTATTACTTTTACTACTAATACAACTACTACCTTACTTACTACTACTACTACCTTACCTACTACTACTCCTACTACTACTACTACTACTACTACTACTACTACTACTACTACTACTACTACTACTACTACTACTACTACTACTACTACTACTACTACTACTACTACTACTAGTACCACTAATACTACTTTTATTGTGAGATCATCCCCATTCTTATCGTCCTCCTCCCAGCCTACCATTTTATGGTGATTAGTGATTGGGTCACTGATAACAGCCGGCAGCAGAGAGTGGCCAGTGCCATGTTGACATACTGGCAACATTTTAGGTGCCATGCAATCATTAGCGCCCGGGGATAATTTCTATACCAGAGGGGTCCAGTCCGTCAATGATTCCAGATTTACTAAAACCTGGAGAGATGTGTATGATCTGGAGGACATTCGGATGAGTAGTCGGTTAAAATCGGTTTTTCTTTTAAAAACTGTACCGTTAATTTGATTTGTTTTTTTTGAGATTTAATAAAATTGTATTGTATTGTATTTAAATATTTAGGTAAGTTTTTGGATAGGTCGTGTAGTTTTTTTTTATCACATCCCAATCATTCATCACGATGTTAAAATTTAAAAATTTTTACCTTCGACATCAGTGCAAGACATGCTGCTGTTATCGGTATCATCAATTTAATCATCACGATTACAATTTTAATAATCATGATTACAACTTTTATACATCCTCATCATCGCATCGTCGCCTCAACGTACCATGACGTCACGATGACGATGACGTCATCGCATCGAATGCAAAGAACAAAACGTGGTACATCAGTCTTGGCAATCATGATCATGCTGGCGAATACGGAGTCCAGGTCGAATATTCTAGAATAGAGCCAAGGTGGTACATGCCTGCCTTATGGTCTGTTTGATTTTTATCTATTTATTCAATTTTTATTATTTTAACAATTCAATTTAGAAATGCTGCTATTAAGTAAAATATATCAACCGTTGATTGATTGATTAATTAATTAATAATTAATCAATTATATAATTAATTATGATGATGATGATGGGAATTCACGTAAGGTACGATGTTGCGTTCCTGGACGGCTCCGTACATTTGTTCATTGTAGACACACAAACATTGAGAAAAATTTAACAGGCTATAAGGAACAAATGATATGGTAGTTCACTCATTTACTTTTTAATACCGATAATTAGTTGAGTGTGAATGAATGAATGAATAAATGAATGAACCGAATAAAGGAATGGAGGGAGAAATGGATGGTGGATGAACAAATGAAAGAACTAAGAAAAAGAAGGAATGACAATTTGATTGATTGACCGGCTGATCAACTTTGGTTACCGTAATTCGTTCGCGGATCTTCCCTTTGAATGATGCACACAATCTTCCTATTGTGAAATCAACGAATAAAAAAACTAATAATTAAAAGGCCTTTTTAAAAATCTTGCTCAAGTTGATTATATGGATTAATAATTGCTTACACACTTATATTCATTTGCACGGGCGTGCGTGCGTGTGTGCGTGCGTGCGTGTAGATGATTTTGATTCGAAATTGTTTAAGAAAATAACTATTTTTGATTTTTTATAATAAAAGGTCTTGCAATTCATGATAATTATTTCTAGTAACATTACTACTAAAAGACTAGAAGCGAAATTGAAACATAGTAAAGCGACATGGAAAATTGTGATCGGTCATCATCCGCCATTCAGCGTCGGAGGGTACGCCACTGGAGTCACGAAGACTCGAAAGGCCATCGTACCGTTGCTGCAAAAGTATCAGGTAGATTTGAATTTGGCTGGACACAACCACAACATGCAGCACATCACTGAATTTTTGTAATTTATTTAATCACGTCATCCTTATATCTTGATTCGACATGAATGACGTCATCAACGTACGATTACATTCAATGTATACGGCGTAAGATATTTATTTAATCATGATTTATTGATTGATTCCATTAGATTCAACTTTTCCGCCATTTTACCACACTTGCTTCAGACAAAATGGCGAAGAATCAGAGTAAATGGAATGTGGATTAAGTCATTTCCGCAGCCGGTGGCCGAGGTCTTGATGGAAAACAAAGTGTTGCAACAACATCTTTATGGGAACTAGGTTAATTCTGTAAAATGTTTTTAAATTCAAGTCAACCTTAACAAGCCGACACTTGTTTCAAAACGCAATTTTTTCATTCAATTTAAAGGTTATGAGGTGCACTACTTCAAAAAAGAACACGGTTTCGTGACTCTAGACTTCGCTGCCAACCAAACCAGCAACCAACAAATTCTAACCGTGCGATTCGTTGCGCTACCAGCCCCAGGGGTCCACGAAATTGAGTATACCTTCGAGAGAACCAAGCGCGTAATCTGAGCGAGCTTGTTACACCTACCATCTAAACTATTAAACATTTATCACGATTGATTCTGACTTTTTCAATACCAAACAGTTTTTCACAATCAATAAAATTCACACATTCAGGCAAAACCTCCTACCTACTTTACCACGTACCTCGCCGAGTAGTAGTAACGCACACACCAACTAAATTACTTGTTCTAAATAAAACGTCCCATCCATTACTTCATAGTCCTAAGCGCCGAGTATTTTTACGACTTTATGAAGAAAAAAAAAGTATTTTGTTTTCAAGTTTTATTAATTTCAAAAAAACATTAACAGAACTTTGAAATAGAAAAAATGGAAAAGTTAATATACAAATACTGTTCAATCACATTAATATAGAACTCGGTGAAGTTATCGTCTGTCCATTAAATAAACGCTACATAAATTGTTCACACTGAAATTTCTAAAGAAACATAAAAAACAAACAAAAATAAATAACAGGACTGCACAATACAAACATAAAAAATGAGAGTCTAGCCCAAGCACGTACGAACGAAACAATCAAATGTACAACAGAACGAAGTCTCGAACAACCACTCATTCACCCTCTCTCATAACAGAAGTGATTCATCCCCGTCAGCTTAATCAACTTCTTCAATGGTTGGTCCCTTTCCAGAAGATGCCCCTGCACTCTCCCCCGCTCCTGCTCCCGGAAATCCACCTGGGAATCCTCCCGGCATGCCTCCAGCTCCTCCCGAGCCCTGGTACAACTTGGTCACAATGGGCATGCAGACCTTCTCCAACTCCTTCTGTTTGTGCTCAAACTCATCCTTCTCTGCAAGCTGTTGGATAAATGTAAAAGAAAAATTAAGACAAACTGAACGAGGTATAGACTCAAAAAAATAAACCTATAAAAATATATGCATGCATCACTGCAGAAGCATCATTTATGAAATTCTACCGATGGGCAAGCAAAACAGAAAACACAATTCAAAACTTGTGCATACCTGATTGGAGTCCATCCACTTGATGATCTCGTTGCATTTGTCAATGACCAGCTTCTTGTCTGATTCAGATATCTTGTCCTTCAACTTCTCATCATCCACTGTTGCCTTCATGTTGAATGCATAACCTTCTAGAGCATTCTTAGCTGATATACGTTCTCTCTGCTTCTCATCTTCATCTTTGTATCTCTCTGCCTCCTTCACCATCTTCTCAATCTCGTCCTTGCTCAGACGGCCTTTATCATTGGTGATGGTGATTTTGTTTTCGCGACCAGTGCTCTTGTCAACTGCTGAGACATGCATGATACCGTTGGCATCAATGTCAAATGTGACTTCAATCTGAGGAACTCCTCTTGGAGCTGGTGGAATTCCAGAAAGCTCAAATTTGCCAAGGAGGTTGTTATCTTTTGTCATAGCTCTCTCTCCTTCATACACTTGGATGAGCACACCAGGTTGGTTGTCAGAGTATGTTGTAAAAGTTTGGGTCTGCTTTGTTGGGATGGTAGTATTACGTTTGACCAGGGCTGTCATCACTCCACCAGCTGTTTCAATACCAAGTGAGAGTGGGGCCACATCTAACAACAGCAAGTCCTGAACTGCTTCTGACTTGTCACCATGCAATATGGCTGCCTGGACAGCTGCAAAATAAAATTAATATAAATCATCAGCAAACATTTCAATATGTAAAATACATTCAATAAAGTGAAAAAAAATGCAACTGCAAAAAAATAAACACATAAAAGAAAAACAAATAAAATCCTCAACACACCTGCTCCATAAGCCACAGCCTCATCTGGATTTATGGACTTGTTTAGCTCTCTTCCATTGAAGAAATCTTGTAGAAGTTTCTGAACTTTAGGAATCCTGGTCGAGCCACCTACCAAAACGATATCATGAACACTGGACTTGTCCATCTTGGCATCCCTCAGAGCTTTCTCAACTGGATCAAGAGTACTTCTGAAGAGATCAGCGCACAGTTCCTCAAACCTGGCTCTTGTGATGCTTGTGTAAAAATCAATTCCTTCATACAAGGAATCTATCTCCACACTTGCCTGGCTCGAACTGGAAAGTGTTCTTTTGGCTCTCTCACAGGCAGTTCTCAAACGCCTGACAGCCCTCTTATTGTCACTGATATCTTTTTTGTGTTTGCGTTTGAACTCTTGAATGAAGTGAGTGACCATACGATTATCAAAATCTTCTCCACCAAGATGGGTGTCCCCAGAAGTTGACTTGACTTCAAAGATACCATCCTCGATTGTCAAAATAGAAACATCGAATGTTCCACCACCCAGGTCAAAAATAAGAACATTTCTCTCGGACCCGACCTTCTTGTCAAGACCATAAGCAATTGCAGCAGCTGTCGGCTCATTGATGATACGCAGAACATTCAGACCAGATATGGTGCCCGCATCTTTGGTTGCCTGACGCTGGGAGTCATTGAAGTAGGCTGGAACAGTAACCACAGCATCTGTTACAGTCTGGAAATTTAAGAAAACACAAATTAGTTAATTGCTGAAACAAATGAATGCCAATTAAATTTTGTTAAAAACATGATCTACTAACGAAAAACAACTGCAAAAACTACAAACAAATAAAAAATAAAATTCAATCTTTGTAAAATACACCCTAACAAAAGAAACAGATGAACAAAATTAAGAATACACTACCTTGCCAAGATAAGCCTCTGCAACTTCTTTCATTTTCAAGAGGACCATAGAAGAAATTTCTTCCGGGAAGAATGTTTTATTCTCCCCCTTGTACTCAACTCTGATTTTTGGCTTCCCTCCTTCACTGACGACTGTGAACGGCCAATGTTTCATGTCGGACTGCACAGAAGGATCATCAAAACGTCTCCCAATCAACCTCTTGGCGTCAAAAACCGTGTTGGATGGGTTCATGGCGACCTGATTTTTGGCGGCATCACCGATGAGCCTCTCTGAATCTGTAAACGCCACATAGCTGGGGGTGGTCCTGTTTCCCTGATCGTTCGCGATGATCTCTACTTTTCCGTGCTGGAAGACACCGACGCACGAATACGTCGTGCCCAAATCAATACCAATTGCTGGAGCTTTCGACATTTTGTTTTTAGTTTACGACTCTAGATGTAAACCTCGGAAACAATAAAAATATTTCTAAATAAAATTTTCACTAATATTTTACAAAACTGACAGAATTCTTGATGCGAAGGATAAAATAAAATCTAACAATATCGCAAGTTTATATAGTATCAAATAGTAATAACAATTTTTGTAGTTCAGGAGAATATGTAATGCCGGACTGAAGTTAGTGTGGGGCTTATATAGTGCTAGGCAGGCAGACGAGAAAGTGAGAGAACGTTAGAGAAGCCTGTGGAAGGTTCTACGACATCCACGAACGTTCACGATCAAATGCATAGCAACCGAATATTCTCTGGGCGCGTTTTATTGTTTAATTAATTTTCAACAATGCAATTGTCTGTTTAATGGTAGTTTATTTATAACTTTAAATTTTTAAATATTATTTTAAAATATATTATTTATTGAATAATAAATATAAAACACTTAAAAATATTACAAAAAATATTTTCATTTTGTAATTTTTCAAATATAACTCTAAAGTCAGTGCCCGTTGATATTGTTATGAATTAATCAAGATGGAGAACATATGTATGAATGCCCGATCATTTGTAAAACCGTTACTACACGCCGCTAAGTACCCCCACTGTTACATAAATGGCGTTTTTTTGGCGGAATGTCCTAAACAAAAAGATGGTAAAGTCGTCCTGGAAATTAAAGACTGCATTCCGTTGTTTCATAGTCACCTGACGCTTGCACCCATGCTGGAGGTGGCCCTCATCCAAGTAGTTTTTTTTAAATCTATTCACTACCAATTTGATTAGTCCTAATTAGTAATTACTAATTTAATTAAATTAATTGAGTAATGTGTCGTTGACTGTTTTAATTAAAATTAATATTATTTAATAAAGTGGTCATTCATTACAAATTACATAGTTCTTTAACTTATTATTGAAGAAATTGGTAGACTTACATTTTTACATAACATATGCGTCATAATGGCATATGCTATTTGGAATTTTTAATTATAAAATAAAATTTAAAAAGTTAATGATGTTATATATGTTTTATTTCATTTCATTTGAGTTTTAACAACCAAAATTGTTACTTGTTCCTGTTCTGTTGAAAATGAAATAAAATCAAAATAACCCTCTGATTAATCAGCCTTCATTCTAATTTTCAGATTGATGCATATTGTCAGTGCAATGATTTAGTCATAGCCGGATATTACCAGGCTAACGAAGTTATATTTGATAAGAAGTATTGTCATTAATTAGTTTTAGTTTAATTATTCATAAAATTATTTTTTAATTAATTTAATTTTAAATCAAATTACCATTTCTGTACATTAAATTTCATTTTTTGATTATTTTTTCTTCAAAGTCCCACGAACATAACCTATAGAATAGCAGAAAAGGTTAAAGATAATTTTAATGAAGCCTTTTTTCTTATGGTAAGTTGTGCTAAATAATTTAGTGTTTTATTAAAAATTATTAAACATTTCATTAATTATTTAATTATATATTCTAAGTTGTGCTAAATAATTTAGTGTTTTATTAAAAATTATTAAACATTTCATTAATTATTTAATTATATATTATTTTTATTTATTTATCATAAATTTGCTCATTATAAATGCAAGGTTAACTATTTTGTCTCCAACCTGTCTTGTCTTTTCTTTAAATTTAGTCAATTGGATAACTGTCTTACTGATTTCTTTATGACGTTCTAGATCGACAATGAGAGACTTGCAGATGATGATGGTGAGAATGCATACATCCTGTACAACAATTATGATGGCAAGTGGAAAAAGTCAGATAAAAAGTAGTATTCTTGGCCATCTTCACCAAAAAAATATTTTTGAAATAAATTTTTTTACAAATTTTTTTTGTATCAGCTACTAGCTATATTTATCTCTAGAATTTCTGTCATAATTTCCAGTTCATTTTTTGTTTGTTAGAATTAATAGCGCTTGTATTCACTCACCTGCCTATATTGTAATTAACTGTATGTTTAATAGTGTTACTCACCATGCAATTTCCTGAATGTTTATCCAGTTTTTAATTGTTGTTTCTTATCAAATTTTTTTGTCGATTAATTTTAGGAATTTTTTAAAATAAGTTTTTAATACTTGTTAGAATATTGTCAAGTAACTTACATACTAAAAAGAGTATATGTCGAGTTTTGCAACTTGTATGTAACGTTGTAATTCACCTTATGTTTTATATATATTTCACTTTTAAAATGTTTGAAAAATTTTTTAGAGTCCTAATTGAGAAGGATGTGATTGATGTGGCCCAGACACTTATACAGACAAAAGCATTCAGGGATGTGATAGATTTTGACAACCACTTAACCGACATTTCGTTGAAATGGCACAACCCTCAAATCAATGAACAGATCGAACAGTGCATTTAGATAGATAGTTTTTATTTTAAAATTATATTTTCAGTCATTATTAATGATAATAATATGATGAATTTGCGTTTTATTGTGTTTAATTTATGTGCGCAATCGTTATGAATGTTTTTTTCATTTGTTGATTGTTGGAAGTTCAAGCTTTTGTAATCCATTGTTCCAAAAAACTTTTAGTTTATAATTGTTCTACATGAATATACATAGTTCATTATTGGATGTTATTTATAAAAAAAATGATCTATCTTCATTTAAAGTTATCTTCCAATTTTTTTTTTAAGAATTATCACAATTAAGATCCAAAAAGTTGTTATACATATTTGATGAAGTTATTATAGGTACGGAATTAAATTTACAATCCGTTGATGCTTGCCACGCGTGCATGCATGCCTTCAAGTGCCTCGCTCAGGCGTACGTCGTCTGTTGAACTGTTGTTTTGTTGTTCATATGTTCGAGTAGATAGTCTGCATCTGTTTGTTTCATGCTACCTTCTCTTGGTATCAGCGCGATGAACACCATTATAAAGAATCCGGCCGAAACAGCCAGTAGATCTTTGTAGGTACTTTTCGAGTTCACTTTACCTTCTAAAATCTCAAAAAACGTGACGTATAAGAACACACCGGTGGCGATACCCTGTAGAACGCCGTTTACGAAATTTATACTTTCGCTGAATACAAATTCGCCAATCATCATGCCTACGACGGACCCGACTGGAGACATCAGGGCGTACATAGCCCCCAAGGTGTAAGACAAGCAAGGTTTCTTGCTCACGAGTCCCGCCAACTGCAGTCCGTAGCTGAATCCCACCACGCATTCGTGAGCCAGGAGTCCAACCAGAACCCCCCACACAGCACCTGAGGTCCTCTGCAGACCGAGACTTATTCCACCCAAGAATTCATCGAGAGCCAGGGCGAGAAAGAGTATTATGACTTTTGTTGCACTTTCATCAGTGAGCGAATCGACTGATGCTGTCTCCTCCTCATCGAGGCGGTTGTCCAACTCCACCTGGAAATATTTCGTTTCGCCGTTCGATTGCACGAGTGTTTGTACATCTTTTTCGTTATTATTAATTTCGTGAATGGCGGGACTTGGAGTTGCCGTCGAACCGTTGCAGCCGTTCGTTTGCACCTCTCGGTTAATTTTTTTCGTTTTTTTCCGTTTGCAGGAATGAACAAATCGTTCGAGGAACATGATGAACATGAAACCAACGCCGATCGTTGTTTCGGCCATCGGGAAATGTTCGAAACCGTAGTAAGGCTCCGTCATAAGGTGGAAGACTTCAGGAATGAGGAAGAGCAGACATGTGCCTAGGAAGACACCTCCAGTGAAACAACTCAACGTCACTAACAGTCTTGTACCTGGTGCAGAAAGTTATGGAAGATTTTAAAGTTGAGCGTGTGCTAAATATTGAAAATGTTTGTTTCAAAGTTTACACCAATTAATTACCATTATCAACTTGGTTATTCATTTGTTTAGTTCACTTGTTACACATTGAAAAAGACATTATCGAAAATATAAGCGATTTGAACGTCCCCATTCAAGTTTTCATTCAACTAAAAAAAACACGATATAAACCAAATAATAACCTCTACTGCCAAGTTTCTTGAAGCAAGCCATAATTTTGAAAGGGATGAAAACAACGACAAGCATGAGAGCCAGTGTCAGAAGTATGGCCAGTAGCTTCACTTGCCATCGCTGCATCATCGTCGTCGTCGTCGTCAACTTTACTAAGCTATTTTACGTGAGATGTTTGTGTGAAATTTTTTAAACCTTTGTTCTTAACTTCGATGAAGACGCTATGATTTCTCCTGTTTATTCACAACAGGCAAAAAAATCTCGTTTAGATGTTCGTCGTGGTTATGAGGCGTAGTTAGGCAGGTTTACCAACAGCATACACAACTTTCTCGAAAGATATACAAAAAATTCGAGCCAAAATATAATAATATGAATCTTTCTATAATTTAGTACATACACTGTCGACAATCAGTTGATTCAACTTGTGTACGTCAGTGGTCTACATAGGTTTAAAAAGCAGCCAAATATCGTAGTCATAACATATTTCTTATTATTTGTAATTTTATTTTTCTCTATATTTATTTATTTATTAATAATTTTATTATGATTAGTGAATTTTATTGCAGTCGGACTCGAGTACCAACAATGAAGAATAGAAGCAGATAAAATTTGATTGTTGATTTCACTAGAGCTTATCTCTATAAGCAAACCGTAAATACTCCAAATGCGATTAGACAGAAAAAAAAACAACTTCAAAATCACGTGTTAAGGTATTTTGGGTCAATTTATTAAAGTTAATATTAACTAAAACTAATAATTACAGAAAAACTAACTAATTACACATATAATTATTATTATAAATTATATTTACAAATTAAATATTAATAACGTGACAGTGTAATGTAGATAGACTATCGCTTGGAACTACTATACCTATTTGTTATTAATGCCGCTGCATTGTTTGCGTTCTAACAATTTAAACAAAGTTACATAAAGGTATTTATACATAGGGGTTTATAAATATATACACATATACATATACAAACATACACATATACAAATATACACATACTCGTACATTTGTAGACATAAACACACACACATATACATATATATGCATCCACATTCACTTGTATATGTCTGTGTGTTTGTGTTTGTTATGTGTATATGTACGTGTGTGTGTATATTGGATGTTGAAATATGTGCTTTTGTGTATATAACAGACTGTATTTAAACATTGTCTTAACGGCAAACATAGTGTAAATTTTTAAGAAGACCTAGGCCATATTTTTACTTATTAATAGTTTTACACATTAAGATATGCAATATGAGATGAAAAATAATAATTTTATCAAATTAAATTATGATTTGTATCAAATTAATAATTTTTAAATGTTAAAAGTTGAAAACTTCACTTATTAGAGGACATTGCGGAAGCACTGCTAACAATTTTTAATAAATGGTTGGCAACGGGTGAAATACAATCAAATTGGAAAGATGCAATCACAGTGCCACTCTTCAAGAAAGGAGATCATTGCGACAAACGAAATTATAGACCAATAAGTCTTACAAGCATTGTACTATAATAGAAAGAATAATTAAAAAGATAATTGTGAACCACTTGGCAAAAAACGATATCATATACAACAACCAACAGGAATTTATGGATAAGTGTTAATGCCTAACAAATTTGAAGAGGTTTATGAAAATTTGGACAAAAAGAAATCAGTGGATAATGTGTAATTAGATTTTGCTAAGACTTTTGATAAGGTACTGCATAAAAGTTTGGCCTTAAAATTAGAGGCGAATAGAATCAAAGGAAACACACTCAAGTGGATTTCTAACTGGTTACAAAACAGACGGCAACAAGTTGGTGTTGGAGGAAGTTTCTCAAACTGGAGCAATGTTACAAGTGGGGTTCCTCAAGGATCCGTATTAGAACCATTGCTATTTGTAATATACATCAATGATATTGATCTAGGAATAAAGTCTATAATTTCAAAATTTGTAGATGACACTAAATATGTGTGCTGTTGTAGACAACGATAAAGATACTGAACTTCTAGCATTCGATTTGCAAAAAGAGAGATCAGAATACTCCTCAAAAATTGTTGTTATTTCTAAAAAGTATTGTGAATTTTCAGAGCCATAAAGTATCTTTCTAGCTATGCCAACATTTGTTCTTAAAAGATCTAAATGTGAAGTTGTATGGTTACAGAGATAATACGTTATAAAATGAAATTTATAAATATAACTGCAAATATTTATTTCTGACTTAATGGACAGATGTTTACAACAAAAACCACTACTTATCTTTGAAATATAAAATGATTACTATTAAAAGCACATCCCCTTGTCGCTCAGATGTATCGGAATCGGTATTGGTATAAGTATCGGTATATAGTATCGGGGAATCGGTATTAGTACCAGTATCAGTATATAGTATCGGTTATTTCTGTCAAAAAAGTATCGGCTATATCAAGTTCGATAAGTATCGACGTTCTGGCAATGGCAAAATACTTCAAAATAAAAGCACTTTTTGAAATTTCGAAAAATATATAAAGTATGGTTTATATTCTGTGTGAAATAAGTTATTTTAGGTATTTTAAACTAACCTGTTAGTAGGAATAATAATACATACATGCATGCATACATGCATATCAATACCAATACATACATATATAACAATATATAGAATGTTGAACTATATGGACATGTCACACAAATAGAAGGCATTGTTTAGAGTAACTTCGTAATGTTGAATCGTAATACACAGGCACACACGCACACACACGCACACACACTCGCACACACGCACGCATACACAATCAATGTATATATATATATATATATATATAACATATACATTGATAGGGAAGATTTTTTTCTCTCAAGTCTGTACAATACCTGACGATCATTATTTTTTAATTGTTAATGTTAATGTTATAATAATAATAATAATAATAATAATTATTATTATTATTTTTGTTTTATTATTATTATTATTATTATTTTAATTACGTATAAATGAATGAATAAATAGTACATTGTCGTGCTATATGTTGTGCGCGCGTAGAGTCTCAAGGCATACTGAAATGAAGAAATGGAAAAAGTCTTCAAATCAGACAATGGTAGCATTATTATTATACCGGTGTAATTGGGTATTGTTGGTATATTATGATTCTATTTAGACATGAAAATGCAATACAATACCATACCAAACAATACAACACAAAGAAAATAATACAAATAGATACAAAACAAAAAAACAAAGTAGCTACGACATAAATTCTCACAAATACAAAGCCATCCGTTAGCCATCATTTATACTATATATGAAAGAATTTAGAAATACTCAAACGTACTAATACAAAATACCTTTCGCGTATTATACAAAAATAATTGTATATGTTATGAGTGTGTGTGTGTATGTGGTGTGTGTGTGGTGTGTGTCTGTGTGTGTGTATGACTTCAACTGTGATTTATATTCAATAATGGTTTGAATGCCATAATACAAGCGAAAAATTTTTTACATGGTATTTTAAACATAGTGCTTGTATAATATATATATATATATATATATATATATATATATATATATATATATATATATTTAGCTTTTATCAACAAAAAGCCACACACACATATATATATATATAAATATGATGTGTGAAATATATATATATATATATATATATATATATATATATATATATATATATATATATGTATCAGGTTGTATAGATGTTTGTGTTTGTCTGTGTGCGTGTATGTTTGTGTGTATGTGTGCAAATTTGTATTTATGTGTGTGAGTGTGTTTGTATGTGTGTATATTGGTGCAGTTAAGCTTACATTATACATACTATTATGTACGTATACTTTATTTATCAAACAAGATTTGTCTCAATTGGTCATTGGAAAAAAAGCTAAAATTTCGGTTTTGGAATTTTAATTCGGTTTATATGTGCGCTAAAAAATTTTCTCTCTCTCTCTCTCTCTCTCTCTCTCTCTCTCTCTCTCTCTCTCCTCTTTTTCTATACACACACTTGTGATGAGAGGTGACCGTACTAATATTAATTTGACACGCCATTGTTATTTTTTGTTTTGTCGTTGGTGGTGACGTCAAAAGTGATGTAACGTAACGAGGGATGTGCGTGTGCTTATATGTTTTTTCTGTCTGTCTGTGTGTGTGTCTGTCTGTTTGTCCGTGTACGTACGTGACGAAATTTGTTATTTTCAGAATGTATTTACAATTGCAAAGTAGGAAAAAGAGGCTGATGACGTCAATGAGTTTATATTTAGAGATGGAGGTGATGGTAGATCGTCGATTTTGTTTCTGTAACGATCACGATGTAAAAAAAAGACTGAATGACGTCAACAATTAAATATATGAACAAACATACATACAAACAAACAAACATACATACAAACAAATAAACGAACAAACAAACAAATAAAAAGTAGTTAAAAATGAATGAACGAGGGAAGAATTGTATGAATAATGAAGGAATGAATTAATGATTGAATTGAAAAATTCTTCAATCGAACGAACAAACGAACGAATTAATGAATGAACAACTAATCGAACGAACGTTTGAGTGAACGAAGGAACGAACAAATGAATGAACAGACACATTCACAACTTCGTTCATATTTACTTGATTATTTATAATTTGCCCATCAAGTTATCAGCAAACATCCCCTGAATATTTCAGATCATGAATTATTTTAATGAGTTAGTTGACTTGTTAGGCTGGCGAGTACTTCTAGGCTAATCGAACGGGTAGTTTTATTTTTATTATTTTTATTATTAATTATGATTAATATTTTGATTATTATTATTATTGTTGTGGCGATAATACATTTTAGAGAAGTATTTTTAATGGCAATTTATTATACTTCAAAGAAAACATAAGACTAACACACGATGAATTGTTGGTCAGTAAAAATTAACACGTTGTATATGTGTATATTTGTTATGTGCGTGTGTATGTATGTGTGATGTATGTGTGTGTATATATGTATGTATAAATATATAAGTGTATGTGTTTGTGTGTTTTGGTCATATCAATAATAAAAATGAAAAAAAACATGTTACACATGTGTATATATGTATGTATGTGAAGGTATATATATATATATATATATATATATATATATATATATATATATATATATATATATATATAAGTGTGTGTGTGTTTATGTGTGTGTGTGTGTAGGTGTGTGTGTGTTTGTGCGTGCGTTATATTAATTAATGACACACAGATCTCAGAAAAGGAGAAAGACGCGACAATGATAACTTTTAAATATATAAATAAATGAATAAATAATAAAATAATAATAATAATATTATTTTTTTTGGAGTTTTGGCATATCAAATACTAAAGATGAAAAAAATTTAATTCTTTGAAATTCATAATGCTGACGATGCAGAAACAAAAAAACACACACACACAAAATATAAAATGAAAATAAGAAGAACGTGTGTATCTGTGTGAGTGTGTGTGTGTGTGCGTGTTTGTGTGTGTGTGTGTGTACGTACGTATTCATAAGTCCAACTGATTAAGTCAAGATTATAATTATTAACAATTGAAAATGGAGATATCGATTTTGAAAATTTCACTGGTATTCTTCATATTTCTTGTTTCTCTCTCTCTCTCTCGCAGTTTCTCTCTCTCTCTCCCTCGTAAAAAATAGGCGCTATATAAATTAAAAACATTTTGAACGGCGATGTTGATAGTAGCAATAAGTAGTGATTAAAACGTTTTAAATAACAAAATTTAAATATTCACGCACAAAAACATAAGCTAAAAAAACACACACACACACACACTCAAACATACACAAACACACACTTGATAATTTTGCGAATACTTCTATGTTAATGAAACGAGTATTTGTATTTTTTTTCCACACACGCACACACACACGCTCACACACACGAACACCATACACACACATACAAACACACATACACACACATACAAACACACATACACACACACGCGTTAAATCAAGCTGATCGCAAAAAAATTTAGAAAGGAATTCTAATAGAAAAGAATAAGAAATTATTCAATGAAATCTCATAGACTTTGTTCTTTGATTTCTTTAATTAAAAACCACAAAGAGCAAAAAATATAAACACCCACACGCACGCACACACACACACACACACGCACACAGACACGCACACACAAACACACGCACATAAAGACACAAATAAGCTAGCTACATGAAAAAACGTAAACATTAACACAGACGTAAACTTGCGATAAAATACATTGTCTAATTTGAAAAAAAATGTCTCTATTATTATTATTATTATTATTATCACCACCATCATCATCTCATCATCATCATCGTTGTTGTTATTAAACAGATATTTCAAACTCACACACAGATGCACACAACGACAACGGAGAATGATGACGTCACAGATGAAGAGGATGATGATGATGTCATAGATGAAGAGGATGATGATGACGTCATAGATGAGGAGGATGACGACGATGATGATGACGTAGTAGTAATAGTAGAATTAATAACAACAACATCGTTAACAATAATAATAACATTAACAATAATGAATATTATAATTATAATTATTATTACGTATTAATTTAAATTTTCAAAGGAACTCCTTGGAAGGAATCCAAATTATAGGTCTCGATTGGTCCCAGACAACTTCTTTAACTCTCGTGAAAATTTCATTCGAAGTTTCGCCTGTCACTATGGCTGTATGTGCATTGGAGTATGTGTGTATGTGTGTATGTGTGCGTGAGTGCGTGCGTGCATTATATTATAAATTACAACAACAAACGACCGACCAGTGAAATAATCAGAGAATTCGTCTTCCAGTTTTGAAGCTCTCTCGAACGTCTTCCTAGCCTGCTCTTCCGTTATCCTTCTATTCCAATCCCTACAATGATGATGTGACGACTGATTGATGACTCAACCACGCACACACATACACACACAGACACACACATACACACGCACGCACACAAACTCACATGATAGATTCATACGATCTTGGTTTGATGAAGATGGCAATTGGATAGAGTTCAGCCGCTTGCAACCTTTTTATCGCATGCCCACTGACGTCAAGTATGCAATGCTTACCCTGAGGTAATTTATTAATTTCAATTATAATATTCATGACTCTAATTATTCATAAATAATGATAATAATTATAATTAATTATGATAATGTTGTAATTATAAGCTGTTATCGTCATCATTAATGTTGTTGTTGTTGTGTTGTTATCGAGTCTAGCGTCAGCCCTGATACTATTTTTCTCTTATTATTATTCTTATTATTCATATTATTTTATAATATTTTTATTATTAATAATATTTAAAATAATAGCAACAACAACAAAAACAATAATAATAATAATAATTATTATTATTATTATTTACAATCCTTACTTTTTCAGCAACTTCTTTGACAGACTGAACTGATGTTCCGTACAAATTGCCTGCAAAATAACAACAATATCAACAACAACAACAACAACAACAACAATAATAATAATAATAATAATAATAATAACACAACCACACACACACACAAACGCATACAAACACGCATACACACACGTATACACACATACATACATTCATACTGACCGTTATACTGGCCGGCTTCAATGAACATATGGTTCTGAATGTCTTTTTCCATGAGTTCCCTGGAGGGCACGAAGTGATAGTCGCGACCTTCAACTTCGTACAACCTCTTTGGTCGGGTGGTGTCTGTGTGTTTTTTTTTGTGTGTGTGTGTTTGTTTGTGTGTATGTGTGTGTTTGTTTGTTTGTGTGTATGTGTGTGTGTGTGTGCTCGCGTGTAGAAATGTAAAAAACATGACACAGCGATAAACTATACTTAATATTATATATGAATAAATGTCTTGTATACATACATCCATTCATAGAAGCTAATCAAATACAAAACAGAAACATACATAAAAATAAACAAACATACAAACAAACACAAACAAACAAATATACAAAATGTCAAGAGCTAACGCGGCACACAACTCCCAAATTTATCTGGAAATTCCGAAATGAGGTCATCATTGATTCGATCCTTCAATGGTCCCAAAATGACCACGGGTCTCGTGTACTTTACTGGACGGTAAGGGGCGGAGTTATGAATGCTAATTAGTGGCTATGAATGTTAATTAGTTGCTCTGGATGTTAGTTAATTGCTGTAGAAATTAATTAGCTGATGTGAATATTGAATAAGTAGATGTGATGTGATGGATTGACAGTTTAAACAATTGAGAAACTATAAATAGCGATGGACTGAGTTATGAATATTAATTAACCGTTGTGAATATTAATTAGAGTAATATTAATTATGAATAATTAACCCAAATTATATTGCTATAAAAAAATAGTTGAATGAATGAACTGGAAACATACGTTCCTTCTGTATGACTGGCTCGTATGATTTTATGTTCTCGTCTAAGAAACCGGCTGTACGATTGAATTGAGAGCATGAATGAATTAATGAACGTATGAATGAATGAATGAATTATTGAATGAATGAATAAATTAATTAATTATAAACCTCTTGATGGCGAATCAACAGTAGCCCCAACTGGAAAAAAATGAAAAATTTCAATTGACATCTTTTTAAAAAGAGCTGAGTGTTACGTCATCAACATACAAACGTGCAAAAAAACAAACAAACATACATACATACATACATACAAACAAACAAACAAACAAACAAACAAACAAACAAACAAACAAACAAACAAACAAACAAACAAACAAACAAACAAACAAACAAACAAACAAACAAACAAACAAACAAACAAACAAACAAACAAACAAACAAACAAACAAACAAACATACATACATACATACAAACAAACAAAAAAAACATACAAACAAACATGCAAACAAACGTACAATCTTCAGAGCTGAGGGCATCGTCACTCATACTCCTTTCTCTACTCTTCATGAATTGAAACTTGCGACTCAGAGAAGACGATGTCGACGTCGAGCTGCCAACGCCACCACTTCGCTTCTTTCTCTCGCCTGTTAAACTCTAAAAAGGTCATTATCGCGGGGCTTGTGCTTGTCGTCATCATCGTCATCATATTCTCTCTTTCATCGTCTATGTCATTATTTTCAACATCATCGTCATCGTCATTATCTGAACAAACATAGAAAAAACAAACATAGAAACAAACATATGAACAAACAAACATAGAAAGACAAATGCGCATACTAGTATGTATTATATTACACAAAGACTTCAAATATATAAAATAACGCACACAAACACAATAAACCACATTGAGACTACTACTACTACTGCTGCAGCTACTGCGACCGCTAACACTGCTGCTGCTACTACTGCGACTGCTGCTACTACTGCTGCTGCTACTACTGCTGCTGCTACTACTGCTGCTGCCACTACTACAACAACAGAATCAACATGAATACTTTTTCTTTTTCGTATCCTCCTTTGTTCTGAAATTTAACATTCTTCAAACGTGATCTTTCTTTTCTTTCAATCCTATTCATTCATTTAGTTATTATTATTTGTATTAGTTATTAAATAATTGAATGATTCTTTCCTTTCTGTCATTCGGTTGTCCATTTTTTCATTTCTATATTCATTCGTTTTTCAATTCACTCATTCGTTGAAACAGATTTTTTCCAAATGAGAGAGCGAGCGAGCGAGAGAGAGTATGAATGAGCAGAAATGAAAAAAGCAAGCTAAAGAAAGAAAAGAAAGAAAAAAAGAAAGAATAAAGAAAATAAAAAAGAAAGAAAAAAAGAAAGTGAGAAAGAAAGAAAGAAAGAAAAAAAGACGAAGACTCCAACATCCAAGACACAACAAACCTACCTTCGTTTACTCGGAATAATTCCATAGCTATCGGCAGCAGTACCAAATAGACCGTCGACACTACTACTACCACAACTGCCACTTATGCATCTCGCCTGCCACCATTCGTCGTCGCTAGCGTTCACAACGTGTAGGATGTCTCCATATCGAAAGGGAAGTCCCCGGCCCGGCAGGCCCTGATCGCGATTAGGGTCGTAATCGAATTGGGCCCTGTAGGTATATATATATATACATATATATATATGTATATGTATATATATATGTATATATATATGTATATATATATGTATATGTATATATATATATATATATATATGTGTGTGTGTGTGTGTGTTTGTGTTTATGCGTGTGTCTGTGTGTGTCTGTGATTGGTGTATGTCACCTCGTCATCATCACTGACCTAACAAATAAACTCCTTTTCTCAATGGTTTTCAATCCTCCCCCACCAAGAGGGGGCCCACCTAGAGCGACCCCAGTGGCAGCCCCACCGTTCGACATCACCAGCATCCTCTCTCTCATCTCGTGCACTTTCGCTTCAAATCTGTTGTAATCTGTTCGTGGAGAGGATGATGATGCAGATGGTGAAAATGGTAATGATACCTCAAACGTTAATCATCATTAAAATAGTACAAATGATTTTTACAATAGTAAAGCTATGGACACCCAAGATAAAAAGAACAAAACAAAACAACCAAACAGAGAAACATCATCATGCAGCAGACCTTCTGGCCTATATTGGGCCATGATTTCAATGACATCGGGGCTGCCCTTCAGGATTGATGCGGCTTGGTTGTGCGTGGCCGATCTCAAATCTATGTGGTTCACCTGGTTTGAAATAAGTCTGAACTAGTCACAAAAATATGACTGAATACATAATAAGTCAATCCAGAAGAATTGTTAAAAGAATCACATAGTTAATCAAACGAAAATGCACCGCACACTAATACACTAAACCAACAACAGAATGATCGTAACCTCTTAAACAATCGGCACCCAACCAACCAAAACACTCACAAACCAACCGACCGACAACAGCTGGTCCCCCCTAAGCAGGCCGCCGTGAAGTTCCGCGGCACCACCGCTCAAAATGTACGAGACGAAGATTCCCTCGCCGTCTTCTCCGCCAACGATGTTGAAGCCAAAACCGGATCTCGACTTCCGGAGAATAATCTTACGGGGCTCTCTGGAATAATAATAATAATAATAATAATAGCACGAGAACGCAATATAAACCGTTAAAAATTAGCATGGCAGAACAATCTTACTTAATGAGTACAAATGATGAAAACATCTACAACAGTAGAAGGAGCTAAATAAACAACAACTGACAAACAAAACAAAGCATGCATTTATACAAACAAACGGTACAAAAATAACACAAACAAAACAATACAAATACAAAAACAATCAAAACAACCAAAGAAACCACAATATACAAAGACAAAAAAATTGTTCATTAACTAAGAAGACAAATAATAATGACGTTGGCAATTATTTCTTTGACGTTTCAGCGGTGTTTGTCGTTGATGTATGTATGTATGTGTGTGTGTTTGTTTGTTTGTATGTATGTATGTGTGTGTGTTTGTTTTTTTTTATGTTTGTATGCTTGTTTGTTTATTGCTATCGTTGATGTATTTTGTTGATGTTGTAGTTGTTGATGTTGTTTTCATGTTTTGTAACATCAATCATAATTTAATAACCTGATTTAATAATTCTAACATGAAATATTAATTTAAATTAAAAAATACAAACCACAAATACCTCGACACGGTTTCGTCTACAATAATACACGGAGGAATATACGATGATAATGACGTCACGTTAAATCCACCTAGAACACCGCCTGCGTCCAAATCGACAATGCCGCTACTACAACCACTACACATGTTGTTGTTGTTGCTGCTGTTGATGTTTTTAATGGTGTTGTTGTTGCTACGGCGATGGAGAGATGAGGAGGAAGAAAGAGAGGGAGAGAAAAATATGTCGTTTTGAACTGCCAGGCCGAATGATGGCTCGCGGAAGTCTACTGTATTGGTTTTTGATTGGATGATTGGTTGAATGGTCAGTTGGTTGAATGGTCAGTTGGCTGGTTGCTTGGTTGGTTGGATGGATGGTTTGTTGGTTGGATAGTTAGTTGTTGATTGAATAATGATTGGTTTAATGAGTGTTTGGTTCATTCGTTCACAATAACAAAAAAATTATTCGAAAAAAAACTTTTAAAATTCCACTTAAACATATCCGCCGATTAAAATTAAATTAAAATTTAAACTAAATATAGAAAAAACGAAAAACTTAAAAAATTAATCTCTAACTTTACCTAAACCGGGCGTTTTTTTTCTCGGCGATTTGGCGATGGATGGCGAAAGTGCCTTAGCAACTAGCAGGTAGACGTAGTCGAGGGTGTTCTTGAGGGCAGATGCAGCCTCGTCGTGGGTCACATTCTCCAGACAGATGTTGTTTACCTGGGATAATAGGTGGGTAGGTAGGTAGGTGGAAAGGTAGGTAGGTAGGCAGGTAGGTAGGTAGGTAGGTAGGAGGTAGTTTGTGGGTGGATTTTGTTCTTGGTGGATTTTTTAGTGTGTGGATTTTGCTGTTGTTGTGTGTGTTGTTGTTACGTCACAGACAGTAATACAAACAGCAGCAGCAGTAGTAGCAACGATGCCAGCTTCAACAAGCGATAAAAACACGCAACAGCAGCAGCTACAGCAACCACTCAACGACGAAACAAACCGCCAGCAGCCTATCGTTAACGGAAAGTCTGCCGTCCAGGTGTGCCGCACCCCCTTCGATGATCTTCGTGATAAAAATACCCCCGTCTCCATGCATGTGCTGGTTGTCGATGCCCCCCGCTATGCTGAACCCCAGCCCTAGGTCCACGTAATGATGATGATCATGATGATGATGATGGAGATGAAGGTAATGATGGCCATGGTGGTGGTGGTGATGATGGTAGTGGTGATGAAGTTGAAGAAAAAGAAGAAGATGATGATGATGATGTTATTGTTGATAGAGTGTTGTTAGACAAGTGAATTTACAAACTAGACAAGATAACGAAATTAGGTGGTTTCATCGTCGTCGTCGTCATCATCGCCATCATCATCGTCACCATCATCATCATCACCATCATCATCGTCATCTTCACCGACGTTAACATTGTTTGTGACAAGATAAATCAAATCTTTCTCTTGTTTTTGTTTTGTTTTGGTTGCGCGTCTGCTACCTGGCCAGCCTTCCTCTTTTAAACTCCACTCAAGCATGAAAACAAATTGCTACCAATGCGTATGTGCGTGTGTGTGCGTGTGTGTGTGTCTGCGTGTGTGTGTATCTGCGTGTGTGTGTCTGTGTATGTGTTTTTTTGTCTGTGTGTGAGTGTGTGTGTGTGTGTGCACACATGTGTATCCGTATGTCTATTTTTGTGTGTGTGTGTATAGATGTATGTGTTTTTATGTGAGCGTATGTTTGCATACACGCGTATGTGTGTTTTTTTATGAGTTTTTATGAGTTATTCGGTCCATATATATCATGCATATGTGTAAATTTATGTGTGTGTGTGCCCGTGTGTGTAAATGTATGTATGTGTGCGTGTGTGTGTGAGTGTGTGTACGTGTGTGCGTGCACACAATAACGTATAAAGATTCAGAAAATGAATAAAATGGATGAACCGAACAAACGAGCGGATGGCTGGGACAAAAAATGAGACGAATGGAAACATGATTAATTACATGCGCGGATGAAAGAAATCAAGGAATGAAAGAACGAAAGTAGAAAGAATGAATTAATGAATGAATAAATAAATGAGTGAATAAATAAGTGAATGAATGAATGAACGAACGAATGAATTAATAAATGATGAACGAACGAACAAACGAACCAACGAAACAACGATCGAAAGAACGAACGATCGAACTAACGAACGAACGAACGAACGAATGAACGAACAAACATACGAACGAACGAACGAACAAAGGAACGAATGAATGAACAAATACTTAAAACAACCTCCTTTGGTGCCCTTTATAAGTTCAACTTCGATGATGTTATCGGCTGGTGTCGGGGAGGTGCTCCGTTTGATGACCTGCCAATCAAGAAAAAGATCAAAAACATATCAAGGTAATAACAATATAAAGATTGAAAATAAAAGTTAACAACATCCAAAATTAAATACGAAAATACGAATATTCTTTTGAGAAATATTCTGAAGGAAAGAGAAAAATGACATTGAGAGACAATACGAAGAGAGAGAAAAAGAAAGAGAGAGAGAAAGAGAGAGAGAGAGAGAGAGAGAGAGAAAAAGAAAGATAAAAAGAGAAAAAGAAAGAGTGGAGGGAAGGGAGAGAGAAAGAATGGCGAACCATGTGAATGAGATTTCCAGCTTTCTTAAGTGCATCGACTGCTTCAGTATGTGTGACGTCTTCTGTTGAAATTCCGTTCACTGATAATATTATGTCGTTCACCCTGTTCGTATGTTTGTTTGTTTGTTCGTTCGTTTGTTTGCTAGCTTGATTTATGATTGTTTGTATGTGTGCACGTTTGTGTTTGTAATGTGTGTATTTTTGAAGGCTCGAACGTTCAATTGTTTAGTTTGTCGGATGATTTTTTGTAAATGTGCTAGTGCGTTACGACCAGTTTATTTATTCATTCATTCGTTCATTCATTCATTCAATCAACCAATTATTCAATTTTTCATTCATTCATTCATTCAATCTTTTAATCTCTCCTTCATTCACTTATTTCTTCAATAGTTTGTTTGTTAAAACGGGCTACCTGACTACCAAGCTATAAATGGATCATTTAAACCTATTTCATTCCTTCAATATGCTTCCATATTTCTTTCAATCGTTCTTTGGTCATTAATTTTAATTCAACCACTTTTTCATTCATTCATTTTTTTTATTCATTTTTCAATATTTTTATTCGTTCTTTTCGTCTTCTTTATGCTATTGTTATTTTTTTTGCCATAATTGAATTATTCTTTTGGTCATTTATCTAAATTCATTCATTCACTCGCTCGCTCGCTCGGTCAGGCGATTTATTTCATCTTCGTTAATTTTTTCTTTGTTTCATTCATTCATTCATTCATTCACTCGTTCGTTTATTCATTCATTTATTCGTTTGTTCGTTCTTTCATTCATTCGTCTTTTCGTTCGTTCGTCCTTTCATTCGTCTTTTCGTTCGTTCGTCCTTTCGTTCGTTAGTTCAATCACTCATTCGTTAATACATTCATTCATTCATTCATCCCTTCATTCCTCGAATCATTCATTCGTTCGTTCATTCAGTTTATTTTATTGTTCAGATCTCTCCTTAGCATCATTCATCATGTTAAACCATCTTATTTCTCGTCATACAACGACATAACAAATTCCACGTTTGTATGTTTTTGTGTGTGTGTGTTTGTGTGTATGTATGTTTGTATTTGTGTGTGTATGTATGTGTGTATGTAGTGTATTTATGTATGTATGCTGGATCTGTATGAATATTTAAGTGTGTATGACGTGCGGTATGTGTGTGTGTGTTTGTATATAAGCAAATGTTGTGCGTGTGAATGTGTGTATGTGATGTGTGAATGTGTGTGTATGTGTATAGATTTTTATGTGTATTTTGGTTCTAGCCATATTGACATCCTTTACATGAAATGTACCCAGAAAGAAATTTTACTTTCAGTCGTTTAGGGAATGATTTATGTAGCTAACGCATGGGTTTTCAATATAAATAAACCAATGATAATAATAAATTTCTATTTTGGTGGTTATCTCTGCCATACACGCGTGTGTATGTGTGTGTGTGTGCGTATATACGTGTGTGTGTGTGCGTATATACGTGTGTGTATGTTTGCTTGTGTGTGCGTGTGTGTGTGTATACGTGTGTGTTTGTTTGTGTGTGTGTGTGGGTAAAATATACACTAAGTAAACATCGAAATCGAACTATTAATTTGATAATGTCCATGATGATTAAGACGATGACGACAACAATGGCGACGACTATGACGTCATCATTAATGACGATGACGAGGATGACGATGACGTGTCTTCAATAAACGTTTGATTGATGCTTAGAAATGAAGTTGATGATTGATGATAACGCACAATATCATTCATTCTTTTTATTTCTCCCTCTCTTTCATTCCTTCTTTCTTTCTTTCTCATTCTTTCTTTCTCTTTCATTTTCAAAAACTAAAGTCATGGATCAGTTTGCATTTGATCTCGGTCATTGCAACATCTCGGCCAGGCATCTTAACCATTACACTACTCTGCACAACTGCCAAACTCACCTCAGCCTGCCATCCATAGCCGCGCTGCCACCGTTGATGATTTTTGTGATGTATATGCTTGTGTCGTCCCCTATGTGAGGGTTGTCCGACCCCCCCGCTATGCTGAGGCCGAGCCCAGTGGGGCCCTGTGGTGTGAAATTGAATTATAAAATTATAATAAAATTATAAATTTATTCAATTATAAAATTATTTATTACGTTTATATACATAATTATTTTTCTTCAATACTTCATAGTCTTTTTATTATTTGCTCTACAAAGTTCACAACACACCGAAAAACATTTTTCACAAAAAAGTAAAAAAAAAACAACGGAGAATAGCGTAAGACTTCTGCTACTAACTCTTTCCAGTGTCACCTCCCCGTAGTACCAATCATGGTCAATGTTTATCTGCAGGTGCGAATTCATCGTGGAAAATAGTCAAGTTATAATTATTGATGTAAATAAAACCACAGAATTAAATTCTCAAGTACAATATCATTAAAAATAGAGAAAGAAAGAAAGAGAAAGAGAGGGAGGGAGAGAGAGAGAGAGAGAGAGAGAGAGAGAGATTGAAACAGAGAAATGTAATTATATTGATCCTTGTCAATCATTCGCACCAATTTTCTAACCAACCTGTCATGCCTATTCATCATCATCGTCATCATCATCCTTATCGTCGTCGTCATTCTCTTCCTCATCATCATCATTATCATCACCGTCGTCGTTATCTTCATCAATGTCTCGTGACAATACAATTGTTTTCAAAACAGTTTAAGAGTATAAAGAGAGTCAAAAAACACATGTTATTCCCGACACCTGACGCATACAAACAAACAAACACACACACACGCACAAACAAACAAACACACACACACAAACAAGCACACACACACAAACAAACGCACACAGACAAATTGTTATTGGATGTTACATTATAAATAGATCTAAACATTCTAGAAGATATTTAATCCAACCGCTTAATCTCATGCTCATCAATTAAGTAAGTCATCTTTGTTTGGCTTCTTTTAAAATCTCAAAAAGAAAGAAATTTTTATCATAATTACGTCATAATAATATTAATATTTAATTTAATCTAAATAATTTTTTTAATATTGCAAATAATATAATTATTTTATTAATAACGGTCTAAAGAAAGAGAGAAAAAAATTCCAAGTGAAGAAAATTAATTTAAACGAGAAAACGTTACGTCAGTATAAACACAGATGCTATCGCAATAACGCTAAACAAACAATACAACACAAAAGCGGTTTAAAACAAACAAAAAATCAAACTACAAAACCATAGAAAAACAAACCTCAAAAACATACAATAAGAACAAACATGCAAACCACACAAACATACAATCTAAACAAACATACAAACCACACTACCATACAAACTACACAAATACACAATCTACACAGACATACAAACCACAAAAATTAAAAACATACAAACCACAAAAACATACAAATGGCAAATATAAAAACACAAAGATTTATATATACATTTCTAGAATTGATAAACAATAATAATTAAACGTCTTAACTAGAAAAAATGATCCAAAAAAATAACACAAACAACTAAAAAATAACCACTAATAAACCAAGACAAAACTTAAAAAAACTGAAAAAAGAGAACTAACAAAAAGTCTAAAAAGACAAAAACAAAACGAAAGCCTAGACAGTAAATAAGCGTGAAAATGACCACAAAAAACAGATAAGTACCTAACTTGAATTTTGTCAGCAAAGAAAATGTATATATAGAGAATGAACGTATAGAGACTGCAACATAAATAGCATCACCAAACACACACACACACACACACACACGCACACACAACACACACAAACCGGTTTTGCATTGTGTAAATAACAATAACTTTTCTGCGCCCTGTGTATTCAAAATAAAATGTTTTTTTACCAGCATAAAGTATAAGGAAACGCGGAAAATTTTTGCAACCGCAGAGCAAAGAATACAAAAAATCTCTTTTTTGTAATGTAAGTTTTGTAAAAATTAACCGCGAAAGTTAAAATACTATAATAAGTTTATATAAAACTAACAAGATGATTGTGAATTAATAGGAAATGCTAACCGAATCATGTGACCACCTTAATGGTGACTATTACGACGGTGGTGGATTGTATGTTTTTGTGGTCTTTGTGATTTTGGTAGCTTTCTTTTTTCTATCTCTTTTTCTTCCTGTTTCTTCCTTTCTCTCTCTCTCTCCAGTGTTTCCTCCGTAGGTTTATGTTTTTTAATTTCATTTAGAAGATGTTTGCTGCGTGATTACATTCTCACGTTGGCGTTAATGATTGTTGTAGGGGAGGGGAAATTTCTCAGAGAAATAATTCAAAATGATGAAGAAGATGATAGTGAAAATGATGACTGTGGTGATGACGTTGGCGAGGAAGATGATGACGAAGGATCGTCCCCAAAATAATCATCATCATTAAGTGATCATCATTTGCTCCTTAGCGTCCCATCAGTAGCGTTAGCATTGCTTCAAGTTACGATACAGTCTTGAATTCACATTTCTACTCTTGAATTGCTTTAATCTTCCTTACTTTATTTTTTGGACAGTATCATAACTATCACCACCACCACCATCGTCGTCACCATCATAGCTATCATCATCATTATAGTCATCAAGTTATCAAGAGCATACATCATCATTACATCAAACAGTTTTTCTGGCCTTGAATAAATACACTTATTTTTATTTTCAACCTAATTATCATCATCATCATCATCATCGTCGCCATCATCATCACCACCATCATCATCATAATGGTCATTATCATAGCGTGGGCGATATAACCAACTACGCCATCAGAATCATTATAAGCGTAGAGACTTTGTTGCGCTATGTATTGTATTGTATGTATGTTTGTTTGTATGTATGTATGTGTGTATGTATGGATGTATATATGTATGTACGCATGTATGTATGTATATATTTATGTATGTATGTATGTATGTATGTATGTTAAAACCAAATCAGCGATGAGTGAGACACTAAACAGTCAAACATCTGAACAAAATCGGTTAACAATTGATAACTGTTGTATGTATGTATGTACGTACGTATGTGTGTGTATAAACGTATTATGTTTGTGTGTATGTATGTATGTATGTATGTATGTATGTATGTATGTATGTATGTATGTATGTATGTATGTATGTATGTATGTATATATGTATTTATGTATGTATGTATGTATGTATGTATGTATGTATGTATTGACATGAGCAAGGTTGAACGTACATAGCTTTGCCTCTGTTGTCCTGAAACTAAACCAACAATAAACGTACACACAAAACATTCATACGCACACATACAGGCATCAATACGCAAACATACAAACACACAGACACACACGTGCAAATACAAAAAAATGCATCTTCAAAAATCTCCGCACACTCACAGGACATAAATTTGCGGAAAAATCTCATGAAGAACCAACCCAGCTTGAAACTAACAAGAAAAATAAAAAGATGAAATATTCATCCTTATATATTTTCCTGTATTCATGTAACTGTCTACATACGCATGTAATGTATATACATTTCTATCTCTCTCTCTCTCTCTCTTTTCCTCTCTCTCTCTTTCTCTCTCCCATATATGTGAACGTTTCGACCAAATTTTCCATTTCTTTATCTAAGGCTCTGCTTGTGCATGTCAGTATGAATGAATGATGAGGTGGCAGTGTGATGACATGATGACGACGACTACAATGATGATGATGACGACGACTACAATGATGATTCCGATGTAATAACGTGAAGGAACGAAAAAAGGAGAACTTGAACGGACGGTTAATGAATAACGAAGGCAATTACAAATCATACAACTGACGTTAAGCAACCGGGTTGCATTTTTGCATTATCTTCTTTACGAGAATTAATAAAACTTCAACTTTCTCTCATTTGTCCATCTCGTCTATATTCTTTTCTCCAAATCTTCATCTCTTTCCTCTCTCTCTCTCTCTTTCTTTCTCTCTCTCTCTTCTCTCTCTCTCTCTCTCTCTCTCTCTCTCTCTCTCTGTGTCTTTCTATGCTTTCGTATTGCGGCATGCGTACTGCGGTATCGTTCGTTATGTGATAATAACTATTCTGTGTGCAAACATACGAGTACCTAAACGTGTACATTTTGTGTACATTAAATACATCATGCTCTGTACAATATTCATAATAACGCGCAACATCATCAACAAGATATGTTATCACATTATTAATATTGTACACTTACATACAAAATGTATGTTTGTATCGGGTGTTGTATCTGGGTGTGTATAATTTATGTACAATTTATAATGAAACATAAAACTACAACAACTACTACTACCAAACAACTACTACTACCACTACGACTACCACTACTAATACTGCTGCTGCTACTACTACTACGACTACTACTATTACTACAACAACTACATGACGATAGTAACCAAGACAACTTCAAAAACAAGAATTATGTTGACGGCTGGCAGTTAGAAGCAAGAAAAATGGACATGACGAAAAAATTGTTTAAAAAGTAGCGTAAAACATTGAAGACAAATAACAAAAACATGACCAAAAACACTGAAAAAAAACATTTACATAACAGAATGACGTCAACAAGAAACTCTTCGCGTACATAAAAAAATGACACTAACGAGAAACAGAGACAAAACATTAACAACATTAACATGCGACGTTAGAGAGGAGCCACAAACATAATAAAGAATCCAAACAAAACCAAAAAACTGGTAAGATTATTAATATAAATATCTTCCACATCAATCAACCAAACCAGTTCATCCAACTAAACCGTCTGCAAAAACATACCTACATAAACACAGGCATCTATACCTACTAACAAACATTACCTTCTACAAATAAACACACACAAACACCACAGAGATACAATCGCACGCGCGCGCGCGCACACACACACACACACACATGCACATACATTGACAGATGGATAAAAAGATAGATAGATAAATAGATAAACAGACAGACAGACATACAGGAAGACAGATAGATAAATAGATAGACAGGTAGAGAGAGAGAGACAGACAGACGCAGAAATAAAAAGACACTAATGTAGGTATTTTAAAGATGAATAGCATCCAACAATGACATGACGCACGATTAATACTGTCGGCATGAAAGAATAAACGAAATAAAATAACAACAACATCATCAACAAAAACATCAACAGAAGCGACAACAACAAAGACACATATCAAACGGAGGAATCTACTGAGAGTGCAATAAATGATAAACTATCTGACAACATGAAACCAACCAGCCAACTAGCCAACCAACTGATTAATCAGCCAACCAACTGACTAACTAACTAACTAACTAACTAACTAACTAACTAACTAACTAACCAACCAGCCACTCAAACAACCAACCAAATAATCAAACAATCA